CGAGGGTGGGGGAGGGGAGGGAGGGCGGAAGACATGGGAGGAATGACGGGCAAGAAGTGCCTCGTACCCCGAAAAAGAGGACAGCGGTAACCGAGAGGATAACAGCAATGTAGCCTGGCACCAGAGCATCAAGGAAGAGGGGAAGAGCCTCGGCGGCTGCGGCGTTGAAGAGGAGGAGGGTGACAAGGAGGAGGTGCCGGCGGTTCAGGAGGGGGAGGAGGCGGTGGGCCTGGCTGCGCTCCTCCACCGTTCCGATCCGCTCCTTGATCTCAAGCTCGAGCGGTTCGATGGACATGAGTCCGATAGTAAGCCCGCTGGCGATGGCCGCAGCCATCACACACGCGAAGGCGAGCCCTAGGTGGATCCAGCTCGAGGGGGTTTGAAAAGTGGCGAATCCGTTGCTGTCCTGGATGGTGGCGTGGAGGGCTCTGGAGGAGAAGTGTGACCGAGGAGGGCCAGAGGCACCGATGTCGGTGCTCTCCATCGACGCATCGAGTGCGGAGTGGGCGGCTCGAGGGCGCGCGAGGCTGTGACAAAGGGCTGAGGCGTCGGGATGGCGAGCAAGGACCTGCGAAGAGAGGGGGCACAGGAGCCGTTGCGGGGGGTAGAGAAATAAGTCAGTTCCCCCCAAAAATGCAAACGTATATTGCATGCCATAATCATGTGGATGGCCGAGGGGACTCACCGCGAAACATTGCTCGAGCCACTCATCGCGCTCCTCACGCTCCCCTCCCCTGTGAATATCCCGCTCATCGATCGCCCTCCCCGACCCCCCCCTCCAGCTCGGTTCCTGCCTCTGAACTTCATCTCGAGACACTTTATCTTGTTCAAGTACAGCTAGGTAGCGGTGCTTTCGTCCGTCGCGAGTGCGAAGATACGAAGACGACGGGCCTGGATAGCTTTCAGCCGAGACAGTGCCCTCTAGGAATTTGACGAGCGAAAATGACGCCGTGGCCATTTTCGGCAAGAGTAGCACACAAAGAAGGACGGTCCATACATGATTGAAAATCCTATTTCTGATATTGCTGACCGTGCTGCGTCTCACGATTGGAGCCGGGGTAGAGGCTGTCAAAATGTTCTCATGGCCATTGGAGCTGTATAAAACTGTATTGCTATAAGGTAGGAGTCGTAATACCATTTCCTGTGCGAAACCAGTGTGGTAAGTTTTGTGTATGGTCAAGATGTTTACAATTCAAAATTCTTGAGCGAATCGAGGTTCAGATCAAACTGCAGCAAAACCCCTTGTTCCCCTCTAACCCGAAGTCGACGGCTGTTGGTCAAATCGACGAGAACAAAGACATCCGAATTGGATGGAGTGAAGGATGCACAAATAACGTCGCCCCCCAGCAATTAATACATTTGTCACCCTGCCATCACCTTCTTCGGAGGGCAGTCCTTATATCTCGGTTGGCGGCAGGCGCTCTGAGATTCATGGCATCTTTGAATTTGTCAACAGATGCAACTCGGAACGATTTCACCATCCCTTGTAAATACTGCTTCAAAGACGAGACGAAATCATGCCGCCCCGCATGACAAAAAGAGCTACGGACAGCGTGCGACGCGCAGAAGGCGATTGTGCCAGGACACGATTTATTTTGAACAGAAGTAGTATATGGCATGGCCTAACGAGGCTATGACGTCATCCCCAACACGGTGTGGAATGCCGCCAACTCCCGCCCCTAGGCTTCTTATGCATTTTTATGACGCTGACACCATTTTTTAAATTCCAGTGGCCTGATCCTTTGCCACGCTCGATAATATCGCAGATGGTTTTGCCATCGAAGTCAAACATTGAATCTACAACGAAAAATGTGAAGATGAAATCCCGGAGGAGAGACCATCGGCACACAATTTATGTAAATAAAAATTACTTGGATTTCCCCCCTTTTTTCCCCACTTTGTCAAAAATATGTATGCACTCGAGCTTTCTTTATTGACAGGAAGCAGGCAGTCTATGTGCATGCTTTTCGATTACGTTTTACCCTACCTTGCGATGCCCCCAGCCTCCATAATAACCCTTTTCTCCCCTCTTATTGCTTTCCCTTCGACAAAGGCTGATAGAAAGAGAACATATGACGTTTGCTCATGAAACATGTCTTTACAATCGATCCTCACAATGATGAAAGTTCCATAGTGAGTGACTGGTCTCCCCGACCCCCCCTGCGTCCTCCTTTTCCTTGATCGTGGCCCTGGGCCTTCTTCTCTCTCGCTCCACCCTTCTCAGCCTCTATCTTTCTCGCAACCGCACCCCTGCTGTCCATGCGATTCCCCCAGAACGGTATCCACCATTTCGAGGTCTGCTGGAGGCTCTTATCCCCAGTCACTTGATTCTTCTCGCTGTGGCTCGCAACATCGATATCCTTCCTTCCTGTGCTTTTTTCTTTTGAAGGCCGAAAAGAGCTCATAGAGGCGATCATCGGTTCAGGAGAAGCCGACACGTTGAATAGGCTACGTGCTGTGGCAAGTTGACGTGGCTCCCAGGTGGAGGAAGAAGACGAAACCATCGTCTGCGATGTATTCAGCAGGGCGATTGAGGACCCATGCCGGGTGAAGCCGACCACTTGCATCTCCCCGTCTTCCTCCTGCCTTCTCCCCCGCGCATCCGCTTTGCCCCCCTCGGGCACCCCCTTATGATGCTTTTCCCTGCCCAGGCCCAGCGATTTTCCTTCCGCGTCTTCCTCATTCCGCCCAGACGGCGCGGGTATTGGTCCTTGGCGCTCCTCCTCCTCCTCCTCTTGCTCCCCCTCCTCCTCTTGCTCCCCCTCGTCCTCCTCCAACAGCCCCTCCAACCGGTCCTCCTCTATCACTTCTTCTTGGAGGAGCTGTGCCATCACGTCTTGGAGGGTGATGAGGCCCAAGGGCTCCGAGGCAAGGGGCAGGCCGCACAGGAGGCGCGAGGCCGCCTCTTCCGGGAAGTCCGTCCTC